GCCGAAGATTATAAAACCCACCTTGTTGTCATGCCTACTCCTCAAAATTGAAGTATGCAGTGAACCTTCACCAAAAGAATTAGAAAAAAACAAAATATTAAAAAAAATCCAAAATTTAGTTTGAATGAGAATGGATATTTAATTTTTCTTATCTTTTTAATGTATTACTTGTTAATTATTAATACATAAGCTAAATAAAGTTGTTTAATATCTTCTTATTGAATAATAAGCATATATTTATGTATAACATTATATATGATATAGAGATTTACCGTCACAAGTCGCGTCTTGAAAACATCATGGCCTACCCATGGCTCCCAAAGCTTGAGACTTAAGGAGCCGTTTACCAAACACTTACCGGGTAAGTGTTTGGGTAAAAATTCAACACCACTTATTTCTCAAGGATTTTAGTCCACTAAAATGACATCATATGTGACAATTCACCCCGTAAACGCCAACTATAATAAGAGTCGTGTCACATACACTTGCTAGGTAAGACTCTTGGTCCTTACCTCGCTCTTACTTGGGTAAGATTCTTACTTCTTACCATATCCGTAAGGTAATAGTAAGCGCTAAACTTACCTAGGTAAGCCTACCGACATGCCACAAAGAAACAAACCAAGAAGTCATTAGCCTAATGATGCTATAGCCTCTACTCTTGTTTATGAGTTTAATTTTTCATTAAAAAATGCATTTGCTTTTTATCCCGTGTAAAGAAAATAAACGACCAAGTATACACAACAAACGAGATAATTTGTACCATTAACTGATGAACAGAAGGCAGAATCTGTGATCTGTCTGCCCTCGCTTCAATCTGTTTCTTTTCTATTAGCAGTTTCAAGGTTTTATTTTTACCAAATTCGAGATGAAAATACATACACAAAATGGAACTATACCTTTTTCAACAGTTTTTACATACAGATTGATTGCGCAATCAAAAGGAATGACACCCGAAAATAACCACTAGGTTAATCATCCTTCATGAAAAAAATACTCCTGCACATACACAACACTCAATATTAGTCGTCCCAACTTTGGTTTAGATAAATCTTCTACAATAAACTATAAGTCCACATTGCAATTTGCAACACTGGTAAATGAAGTTGTATATTACTCCACGGGGTTGGTTTCCAATGAGAATAAAAGTTATGGTGAGAAGGGATCTCCACCCTTGGATCAATCCAAATTGATCTTGTTGATCTAGTGTTTCCATTCCCTTCTAACCGCAATTCATGGGTTGGTTTGAAATTATAAATGATCAGGGGTCCAAATCCCTTCCTACACTTCTCACTTAACTCCTATTCTCACACAATCCTTCATCTTACTCCAGGTTAGGTTTTGATTATTTCTATGCTCTGAACAAAGCCCGATACAAGTTGCAATATTAAGCTATTAACTACCAACAATGCTACCAAAGAAAACGAGGAATATCGACCAAAATAGCCAATCTCCTCAAACAAATTCACTTTTTAGCCACTTTTAGCCAAAATTCACGCAAATGCGTAAGAAAAGCCTATGAGATCAAAAAAAATTACATAAATGGGGATCCTTGTACAAATTTGCATAAAGATTCTTTTTTTCCTTTTCAATTCTGAAAACAGGCTTTACACAAACGTTTTAAGGCATTCGTGCAAACTCTGGCTAAAAGTGAATTTGGACAAGAAGATTGGCTATTTTGGTCAATTTCCAAAAAAACCGACCTTCCCCTGATGTGACTCTACCTCTGTCTTTAAGTAATACTCCCTCCGTTCAAAAATAGGGGTCCACATTTTTGTTTTACTTTGTCCCAAAAATAAGCGTACGCTTTTAAAAGTAAATGTCTGCTTTTCAATTCTATCCTTAATTATGAGATGGAGAAATTCATTAAATTCTCTACCATCAAGGATAGAATAATTAATTCGTTAATTAAAAAGTGCAAAATTTACAATATTCTAAAAATGTATATTTTTCACTGTAGGTTTAATTTGCAACGGGGGGAGTAAACATACAAATACGTTAATCCATAGATGCAACCCATGGCTCAAAATGTGTCCAGAAGTGAGCTATTGGTAAAAAAAAAAAAAACTTGGTGTACCTTCATTGTGAGGGAGGTGGAGCAAATATCAAGAAGTGAAAGCAAAAATTCTATCTGCAATCTTGGTCCGGCAAATTGGACATTCAGAGCAGGCAAGTGAACAAGATTTACACACTGCAAAAAAGTTGGATACCACCAATTACGTTAAGCATAGCAAAAAATAACTACTGAAATAGCGAGAAGATTTGAAGCAACTTACAACTAAAATGCCGGCAAGGAAGAAGCATTGTTGTTGTTGGCGACTCAAAGCATATTTTACATATATGAGAATTTGCATCTCCATTCCCAACGTAATTCGCCTCCTTCTCCTTCATCTCTTGCATTCGAGCCTGAGCACATGTTAATTATGAACCATGAAAAGCTATAAGGCAGCAACTAGTGCATCCTCATCAGATAGAGCTAAAAATCACTTGAAAGTTGAAATCATGTGAACAACTGATTACTGACCAAAATAATAAGATTAATCAGTAGGATGTGTTTGGTACGCGAAACGAGACAGAACAGAAACTTCTTTTTCTCATGATACTGGGACAGAACAGGACTGAGTGGGACAAAATGCGTTTTTGTCCCACCAAAATAGGTGGACCAAAGGGGAATGTTGGGGCGGTGAAGGAAGGGTCCCAATTGGTAGGAAAAAACCCACAACCCGGGTTATCCTGCACTTGGAGGTGAGACAAGATTGGTAAATTACTAAACTACCCATGTTAAATTAAAACTCTAAAACTTTCCACAATTCTTTCACAAACTTATCTCACTTCCACCCGTCCAGTCCAGTCTGCATACCAAACGCATCCTTAAGAACAAACATAACTACCTTCAAACGAGCAACAAGGGGCTCTTCCTTTGTCACACCATGAGCTGTTTGGGGAACATCCGAAACATGCCTCTCTTTAATAACTGAATTGCTGCGATCGACGCTTTCTACTTTGGGGAAACTCACGGTTTCAGGTCTCTCTATATGTCTTCCGTTACTGTGAGATTCAGGAACTGCTCCTTTTGCTTCTTTCTTTAGCTGAGCAACAAGAACCCACATGTTTGCCAGATCATTTTCCAGAGCTGCTTCCTTTTTCTTTGCCTCCTCAGCCTTTTTCCTGTACTCCTCTTCTATAACTTCTTTCTCAGATAAGGCAGCCTCAAGTCTTGCCTCCCGTTGCTTCCTTGCCTGCAATTCCATTCTTAAATCTTCTGGGTCAAGGTTCCAAGAGTCAAACTCATCATAGGCATCCTTCACTCGGCCAGACCGTCCTTTCCGACCGGGTTTTATGGCATCGTACTTGCGGCTACCACCGTTTCCGGGTTTTGTGTTCGCCAACTCACAAGCAGCCATCAACTCTTTTTCGAGTTTTGCGTTCTCTAGTGAAAGTTTAGTGACTTCACCAGCCAAATTCTTGAGTTCGACAGCAGCAGCAGACGCTAATTCCTTGGCGTAAGAAGCTTCTTCAGACAGTTTCTGATTCTGCACACATAATCCGCTATTCTCCTCTAAAATTTGAACATGCTCCAGCTTTAGTTTTTCATTCTCTACCTCCTGATTGGAAGGAAAAAGAAGCCACCAAAGAACAAGTCAGCAAAACCATACTACCACTTCCAACTTTTAAATTAGAAACCATGGCTGGAACTTGGAACAACTAAAAATATAATGGGCTACAAAAGGAACGGAAAACAGGAGAAAGTACAACTAGAAACTCAAATATTGGCATCATATTACAACAGAAACTAAAAGCCTATAACCAATTAACACAAGTTGCAACTGGTACTTCAGCATTATATGATCGAATACCAAATAAAAGTTTCATAATCCAATCGAATGCAAAATTCTCAAATCTTTACATGAAGGTTATTTCATTCTCTATTGAGCATTTGAAAGACATGAAGCTGCACACTATGGGCTTTTCATGTACCGTGACGAAAATCCAGAAAGAGATTTAACTATTTACTAGGCAGAAAACAATTCTTACCAACAAAAAACGTCTGAGTTACTGAACAGAACAACACTAGTAAGTAAACCCACACACACAACCATCCCCAGGTTTATAGCCATCACCTGAATCTTAATTTTCGTCCTTAGCTCATCAATGTACTCTTTGGATCCATGCTGTTCCAAAGAGGTCGATGACTTCTCATTATCAGCCATAGCCAGCTGTTGTTCAAGCAACATGATTCTCTCTTGCAGTTCTTTATTTTCTGCACACTGCAGTAGAACAAAGAGTAAAATGAATTGTCTAGAGAGGTGAAATGCAAGGTTGTACATAATAGTTTAACTGTATATCTTGCTAGGAAACCCAATGATGAAGAACAGATGTGGATGGCACAATAATTTGGCGTAATTTTTTATTCCTAAATCAAAGTCTACACTGCAGTATTGATGTGTATAGCAAAAGAAAAAGAATACAAATTTTATGTAAAAGTGTGATAAACACGTCTTTGACCAAATGCCATTAAAGAAATATACACGATTTAATAATTATGCAGCTTTGGATAATCCATCTAAATACCTTGTTCTGCCATTCTTCCTGGAGGATGCGGTTGTCTGCTGTCACGATCTGCAATCATAGACGATGATCGAGGAAAGTCATCATTTATTACCGTCATAAGTTGGCATAAAATGTCAATACCATGAAATACAACTAGAATTAAACTCATAAATTTTGGTTATGTTGAGAAGGTTATTATATTTAACATTACAGCAATGATATCAAGGGCATCTTCAAAAGCAAACTAACCTCTAGCTCAAAACCCTTTTCATCACACTGTGTCATTAACTTCATCATTGTCTGTTTAAGAGGAAAAAGAAGCAAATGTTATTAAATTTGATGATGTAAAGGTTGTAGATGATATTAGATGATAACATTTGAAAGGAAAAAGAGGGGGGGGGGGTTGCACCTGCTGCATATCAGCCAACGATGTATTAGAAATTGAGGCTTCATTGCTTTCGACAATCTGTTTCTCCAAGGCCCTCATTTGCCTTCTTTTTTCTTCAATTTCACGTTCCAACTGATCTACCTGTGTATCAGCATGTGTTTATAAGTAGTCTACAACATTTGATATGTTGCATTCCCGCAAGAATCAAAGTACAATCTTTTACAATTCATTTTTATACTCCCTCAGGGTTTGTGGTTGAAACATGTGGCCAATTAACATCCAGATGAAGACTATGCTCAGGTAGTTAGGTAGCCTAGGTACTACAGCTGATGGTTGAGGCCAAAAATTCCAAATGTTATTTAAATGTTATTCACATGACGATAGCAGGCACAAATTTTATTGACCAAACAATGAAATATGCATATTGATTTCTATTGCTTTTTTCGTTTAAAATTTTCGAATTCCAAGACAAGAATTAGTAATGAAACGCTCTAACTCTATTCTAGAGCATTACTATTTCCTCCATTCACATGTCAGCATCTAAAACAATATATTTCAACAACTTTTTTTCTAAATTAGTCATGGTAAGTATGTACAGAGTGTGTATATATACAAGAACGTAGCCTTACTTGGGTTTTCGAGCTCTCAGGATCATTAGCAGATTGCTCCACTAAACGCTTCATGGTACTTGTACTGAATGCAATCTCTCCTGCAAGCATCTTCACTCTCTCCACAAGAAGGTCCATCTCATCAATTGAGAGTCCACCCTATGGTCAAGTCAAACAAAATATAATTAAAACCAAAATCAAGATAATATTTTTGGTTTTTATAGTTTGGACAAACAGAAAAAGGACACAAGTTTGCGATGAATAATAATGGTAAGCATGGCAAGTTTGATAGTTTGCGGAGAATTGGAGATTAGCTCCAACTGCGTGAGATTCCTGTGTAACTAACCAGTTATGATTTGTCTAAGTCTAAACCTGCATAGTATGGGTCAGTTCAATATATTGCAATACTACTTCATTTCTTACATTATTTCTGAAGCGACTACCGACTAGCAATCAATGATGTGTATCTTATAGCATGAAGTATATAAGTTTCATGTGAGTGTGTGTAAGCAGCCATAGGCTGAGAAGCAGCTACAGAAAAAAAATTAATGGCTCCCCAAAAAGTAAATTCTTAGTTTCTGTTGTGTTGCATTAGCACCGCATGTCTGCATAAAACTATCATAAGGCTGAAGTGCCATATCAAGAGATAAATCCTAATGATGTCCAAAATCTAACAATGACATATAACTAGGACTAAAAAACTGGCCATCAGATAACCCAGAGATAGAAAGAAAGATTGCTGTGAAACATACTGTTAGCAGCTTTGCACCTCTGGCAGAACCACTGATGACTTCTCCCATTTGAGTTGATTCAGTAATAGAGCTATCTGCTGCTGAAAAATTGCTGGAAATCAACTCATTTTGTATATCACTGTGCAAGAGCAGAGTACCATTCTGAAACAAGTGGCATCAATAAGAAGAATCCTCAAGCTCAAGTCTCATAGTCATAGATCAGAATGCAATAAAGAAGATGAAGATCCAGATGAAAACCCACAAACCGTACGAAAGACTTGGAAGGGCAAGTTAATAAAACAAATTCCACACCAATAAAGATAGTTGACCAACCTAAATATTAAGCACTTTATATTTCTTATATAAAGGCCATATCTCAGTTGACGCGCTATTTTTGAGACGATAAGCTAGAAGAAATATATGTAATTGCTGAAGGTTAAATGCCATTGTGAATCATGTATTATATGGGAAAAGAAATTGAGAATGATTAACCTACATCACCATCATTAGCAGAAGGACTCCCAAGATGAGCAGATACATCAGTCAACCCAGGAATTGTATTTTTGGAGGACACAAGTATTAGCTTTGTTAGCCTCTGAATTCTACTCATAAGAGCAGCCTTTGCTTCTTCCTCTTCTTCTAAGCGTGATTGCATCTTCACTTGTCCTTCTTCTAACTACAATACAAATAGCATAGGGTAATTTTAGAGTTTAATTCATAGTACAGGACACAGGATGGGATTAGTCAAATCTTGCCACCACTAAAGAAGTGTTCAAATAAAAAAGCAACCTACCACTCTTGTCATCATAAATCAAAGCAACCTGTGATAGACAATAAAAAGAAAATAGAACCTTTTGTTTTAGGGTCATTATCTCTTCTGGATTGACACCTACAAGCATCCCCCTCCGCAATTGATCAAGTTCTAGTTTAAGAGCTGATATTTCTTTTTGGTACTTCTTAATCAAAGATTTTTCATCAATAATCTGCAAGATGCATGTTTTAAGAGCATGCGACAGTGAGATTAACATTTTGTTCTCAGTATACTGCATATCAAATCAAATAATGTTGTCACAGCAAACCTTGTTCCGAGAGGCATAGATTTCAATTCGTTTTGCCCTACTTGCAAATTTTAATGTATTGTGAGTCTCCTCCATATTACTAGATGCCGGAGTTATAGTACAGATAAGCTGAAAAGAGAAGAATAGAAGTTAGATGTGATAACACTTTTACATTCATTCACTCTGAAAATCGTGTGAACTTAATTTGATCGCACAATGAAGGGGTAGGGAAAGAAAAACAATTGGTGATCAGAACTATCTATGCAACCAAAAAATCAAATTTCTTAATGCTTACTGAAACATGTCCATGGCCACTCAAAGAAGATTGTAGAATTCGGGTAAGCTTGGAATCTCTGTAAGGAATATGAGATGCCCTACCCTCGCTAAGCTTTCCAATTACCTGCACGTGCAGTTCAGATACATTATCCAAATAAAATCATCCAATGAGTGGATATATAAGTTAATGTCATGAACATTAGTCCAAATAACAGAAGTTGAAAAAAGGTGGCAGCATTTGGCCATTGAACAACTTTTATAAATTCATCATGGTGAACGAGCACAACAGAAAATTTGCATTGATTACACCTCATAGCATCATGACCTAACATGATATGTAGCATACACATTTCAAGTGGATAATGATATCCTGTTGCAACAAGTGAGCACTCGTTTACCAAATCTGAGTTGAATGATATACTTGAAAAAATCCGGCAATTTTGTTGAAGGAATCCATGACCACTTACGGTTCCAAGGGTTAGAAGACTTTTGTTGATGTAAGATCCTTCCTTCCTCCTCAGTCCAGTTGTTTCAGTTTTTGAGCTCTCTGATCCCGCCAGATCAATTAGGTTCTAAAAAATTAAAAGTGATTGAATGAGAGATACAATAAAAATGAACTTGTGTACTTGGGAAATTTGAATAAGTCGTGCATACAAGTTGAGAAAATATGACTCCATCATATTCGTCACCATGAGCGCTACTTTCAATCATCTGCAAGTTCAAATATATGTCAGAGATAGTTCTGAATGGTTGTCGAAGCAGCTATCACAACATCCAGTAACATGTTAGCTTATAAGAAATACAAATGACAAATTTTTGGTTAGTGGAGGGACAATGGAAGAAGAATGGAATTAAATAGGTCAAACAAATGAAACTTAAGATCGTGATTCTCTTTATCTAGCCATATGCTTGCACCTGGAGTTCAAGGTCAAAGAAGAGTATAACATGAAAAGTCAAAGATCCAATATTTGTTGTGCATTATCCATCGCAACACCTTGCCAGTATCTCCTAAACAGAACCTGTTAAAGCTAGATAAAAGAAGTCACACCCTGTATCTTCCAACCTACAGTTCTAGATGAGTTGATGACTTGACAGACCTTTGCAGAATATTAATCTCTACTTGAACCCTCACAGTAAGTTCTGTTTGCTAATTATCTGTAAAGCAAAAAAAAAAAAGACACAGTAAAATCTAACTGTGTTCCATCTCCGTATTATAGTGCTAGGTGTGGCCCATAGTGGTCAAGCTCCCACCATGGCACAAGGCATGGTGTTTTCCGGCTTGAAACTTTGCCACATGGGATGCCAACAGTTAGAAAATGGCACATGCAATTGTGAACTTGTGATATGGACATAGGCGTAGCACAAAGATTGGATAGACTGACTTAATGCTGGGACTGATTTATTTAAGAAAAACATGTCAATGCTTTCCTCAGCACCCACACACATCTGCTTGCACACAGGCAGAAGTCATAACTCCGCAACTCACAACACCTCTCACACACAATCGCTCTCCCCTTCTCAGTCCCACCTCCCTCTCCCTCTCCTTGCTTCACGCATGGCTGCCGTATGCAAGCTGCTAGTAGCCTCTCTCTTTCCGTCTTTTGCACACAGTTCATATAACCAGTAGTAAAAGAGGTAATATGTCGGCATCAGTTAACTTTTGATGGTTACAAATGGAACACACAATTTGACTTTTTTAGCAGTTGATCTTTTAGCTATTAAATAATAAATTCCTAATAACTTTTACTGTTACTTTAGTTGTTAAATTTTGTCACATTTGTCACTGTTGTTTGATCTGTTAACTTAGTTATAATCTTTTCAGCTATTAATTTAGTCGTTAAATTTATATTGGTGTTAATTTATCAGTAGTTTCAATCAATAGTTCAATTTTTAGCTGCTAGTTTAGTTGTTAAACTTGAGTTATATTACTGCCAATTGATAATCTGTGCTGTTAATTTCAATTTTTGGTTGTTAAATTGTCGATTTACTTCTGCAATTGTGTTTTACACTTCCATCTAGTTTTTTAGTTACTCACTTGTGTGTGGTTTCTAGCATCGAGATACTAGCTTATCATCTTTTTACTTTATTATGTCATCCTAAACCATCTATTATGCTTCAATATTATTCAATTCCATATCTTAGTTTTCTAATTTTCTTGTTTCTGAACTTGAAAATTGGAACACCCAGCAACTGAAAATGGTGAACCCATGATGCAATTACTTAAAGAACTTTGAGGGAATCACATAGCATTAGGATTTAACTATGACGATTGGGAGCCAGATGCTAGAAAATCCAAGTCCCAAGAGAGTTTCTAGAAATTCATTGCAGAAATATGAAGTGAACAGCAAAAGCTCAAAAATTGAAAATGTTTACAAGATATAAATTATTCCATTAAACTGAATCTAAGCTCATAAAGAAAGAAATTATAGACAGGCTTCATGTGAATCACATACCAGGGTAAATATTGTGTGACTACGGCTGCTGAGAAGATTAAAGTTATTTGAACCAATGTGCCGGTGCTCTGCATACAGCAAGTATTCAAAAGAGTTGGACGACATCTATGAAAAAATTAGGGCCAGTGGTTTCTGCCCACAGCCTTAAATGGGTTGTTATGGTTGCACCCATATTAACCTTCTTCATTTGTACGTTTCAATGGATTATCAAGAGATTGGTAAAGTTTAAAACTACCAAACTTTGTCTCTTTAGATATAAAAATCACCAATGTAGATTTAACATTCCCCAGCGCAAACTGACACAACTTTCAAGAATTGCAGGAGGCAAAGTAAATTTTAAATTTTAATAAAGTTTTCCACCTTTCTAATATAATAAGGCTGAATGTTAAATTGAATTATAAAAGCACATTACTTCCATTCTAAATGTGACCAAACATCTTTTTTAATTTATTTGGAACGACCCTTTCCATTCCAAATCTTTCCACCCTACCAAATGCAGCATAATTTGCTCTCCATAAAAAGCTCTCCTTTTTCCTTTAATGCAAAGAGGGTAAGAAATAGCTGCTCATAGATCTAATGAATTAACTCAACCTTTTTATAACCAACCCCTACCTATACGTGGTATGATTTAAACCCATCCCAACCTGCCCATTAAAACCCATAAACAGCTACAGCCCAACTCAAAGCCTCCCTGGGTTGACCCTAGGAGCTCCAAGAAACAAATATCCACACACAGAGATTCAGTAGTACCTTCACCAGCAGCAATGAACGAAAGGGCATGCCCAGGAGATAAAACCACCTCCTCCTTTATACCCTCAACATATGTACCCTATCAAAGGATAGAAAGCATGTCACAACGCATGTGTATAAAGTTATCCCCACATGACAAGATAAAATGATGCTATAACAGCTCAACATCAAGAACCAATTGTGCTATTATATTTAAGCAAACAAAACATAATAACTATGTTATATTTAATAATGGCAAGTGTCCTATTTTGGTTTATTTGAATTGGTTAGCTATTATGTTTTAAGGGAACAAAGAGTTGAAAATTGAAATGAGGGATAATAAATACTTAAGGAATAAGATAGAAAGATGCATAGCAGGCTAAATGCAGAAACCTGTGCATCTTCTCGAACACGCAGATTTTGTCCCGTTGGATCAAGCAGATCGTTAATCACCTGAGATAAGAAGCATAAGCAGCATTGTGTGTTAAAGAACATAGTATACAAATTTCATTTTATGGTCCTCAACAGAATATATACTAACTACGAAAATGGCTGGTGGAGGCTATATTTATATAGACAAGATTCATATGTGGCATAAGCAGTACTAGAGAAAACGAAGGGGGTTTTGTTGTCAATACAATATTGTATTACTGGCAGTGGGAGAAGAAAATATTCATTCTGTACATTGTCAGTAACAATATCCCAGGTGGTGGCTAACCTCATTATATATCTCGATATAAGACACACGCAGCAAGAACTCCCTTCCTGGTGTCTGAAATGTAAATACAAGGTTTTCGTTACTCATAAACTATAATCATGAAATAAATATTAACGCAAGTGTACCAACACTGGATACACAATTACACATGCCACAACACGCACATATTTACACAAGTACATTTTCACACATATGTGTTGTAGGTACGCATCTACATACACACACACACGCACAGTTTGTATCATATGCATGTATGTAGAAAGGCATCAACAAATATATGAGAAACTGCCAAAGGCTAGGAAGAGTGCAGGTTCCACATAATAAGCCAAGCAGATGCCATATAGAAACCTGTGATTGCAAATGATACATGTAAGCCTTTAGGATAAGTTCACAAAGAAAACTTACATCCTGAATAATGCTGAAAACATCCTTTATTGCCAAGGGAATTATTCCTGGAGAAGTATGATCACCCTGTAAAGACAATTAAGAAGAATAAAAAGTTCTGGACAACATAAAGCAAACTACATATAACTGTTAAGGGTAAGACAAACAACCACATGACCACGACAGTTGCATCATACCACCTCCATCACCGAAATAATATCAAAAGTTAACAATAAGCAGATCAACTAGATCATCTAAACTATTAACAGTGTGGCAATGATTTCGTTTTTCTGTTTTTTGCGATTATATTTTCATTTTCAGAGAAGTAAATGCTGAACAGAATACAATAATATTTACATTTTTAGAAAGCATTACAAAATTTTGCAGACAGCAAATATAAATTGTAAACTTAATTTTTGATGTTTCTATGGCTTATAAAGAATACAACTCTGATTACATTACAGAAATGTAAACAAAAACATAGTGTTGCCATATGAAAAGAATCGATCGTTTTTTACAACTATATGAATGGAGAAATCCCAACTAGTATACCTTCTAGTTGCCAATGACAGGTTCCTGCTGCAAACTTTGAACCCAGAGGGATTGCAGAATGTCACCTTTAAGATGTAGTATCTAATTCACTTATCCTATAAACATTGGAGTTTGGCACCCTAAATAATCCTGCAAGATTTACCATTTTTCTGCTTAGAACTTAATAGACCTAACTCTATAATTTTTGCCTATCTCAACAATTATCAACATCAGCACAGGCCACAGATGTTATTTGCTGCCCTATTACAGAAATACTGGAAGTGCATGTTTTTTGGATGAATCCTGAATTTCATCCAAAAGGATAGCAAATAAGTGATCATTGTATGTTTCAGCTCTTATGTATCTGCATAAGTTACTAAAACGCATTGTATGAATCTTTCACTTGTGCACTTGTTACCAACAAAGCTGTTATTTGCTGGAGACCAGGATGTGCCTAGGCTACTAGGCATGTTCTCATAAGTTATAAATAGAAGAGTGCAGGCAGTTCAAGGTCAGCAGATATTTCCAAAGTCCTGTTATCAAGGATTTTAGAAAGAGCAAGCAACTCCAGTCTTCATGTGCAATAAACAAAAAGCCTTTAATCCCCAACCAAGTATGGTACGCTAAAACTCACATGAAAAGAAATAATCAAAATGTGCAACCTGGAAACAAACATAAAGAAGAACTCCCTAGAGTAACAATACATGAATGAAACCCTTTCACACACTCCCAAGTAAAGCCAATTTCCTTCATACACTCCACTTGTGCAAGGCTTTCTTCACTACTTTCCCCATGCCATTTTTGGCCAACCTATACCTCCCTTAACGACCTTATCTTGGAACATATCTCCACCTCTTCTAACCACTACATTCAAAGGTCTGCTTTGGAGAGTATCAAACCACCTCTAACGGTGTTGCATCACCTCCTCATCTCTGTCACCCCAATCTTCTCACATAAATCCTCATTTTTAATATTATCCCTCCGTTGTGTGGCCACACAACCATCTCAGCAATCGATGCAACTCAATGAGCAAGAAAAGGAAAGAAAAAGACAACACTATGTTTGAATTACAATCATGATAGCATAAGTTGCTTTAGAATGTTTCACATTTGCATATTATTTCTTTCAGCAGCATTGATCAATAACACATTTTGATAAATAGCAAGCCACTGGAAAGTTCAAATCCCAGTAAAAGTTGGATTTATTGGTACACGCCTTAAGCTCCTATCATATTCTTTTAAGATGCCAAGTAGCTATTACTGCATGCAATATTCTTACTTAACTGCTATCTTGAATACAATAAGATGTTAAAATGACCTCATTGCAATTGATCAATATCACACAAAGAAAAACTGTACTCACATGCATTGTATGTGTCTTCCCACTACTTGTAACACCATATGCGAATACAGTTCCTGCATTATCAGTCTAACTTCAGCTCCAACTACTAGTATTTTGTTAGTTCCCTTTGTTAATGGGGATAGTGAATAAACAATCAGGCAATTAGCATAATCGTGTTTTTTAATTTGATCTAGTTTTACCACACCATTTATGCCTTCCATGGCAGCCTTTATAACAGGTCCAGCAGCTACGTCATACACTTCATGAGTCTCCGCAAAGGATCCAAAAACCCTATCTGTTATAGAGAACATACAAATAATGATAATCGGAATGAACTTCAATATCCAATGCCAATCATTATTGCATCCACTTTAGTTTTGTTTTTGTTAAATGAGAGAGCCAAAGTTTGTACCAAATGCGTACGAAGTGGCCGGATTGTACTCATTGCGCACCAATTTATCTCCGTCGGCGTACCACGCAATCTCATCTCCTCTCTGATACTCTCTTTCACTACAATCACCACAAATCACCAAATCATCACCGCATTGTCTCGAAACAGTAACAAACTCGAAAGAAACGCTTCGTATAGGCCTAAAACTTATTCAGTTCAAGATCTGTTAATAATTCAAATTACCTTAAAGGCCTAAACCGAATCGTCACGGAAATGCTGTCACCGCCTGCCGCTCTCGAAATATCATCAATCGGCTCATCTATCATCTCGTCGGCAGACGGATAACCGACAGGCGAACCCCCTCCGTATCCCCCTCGGGAGTACATCGAATCGGACGTAGTCCGACCAAGAGTACCAGATCTTGAACCGTGACCGTTTCCCGAGCCTCCGTAGAACGTGGTAGCGGATGAGGATGATTGAGGTACAGTCTGCTTGAAAGATGAGGATGATGAAGACGAGGAAAACGGACTTGAAGGCTTGCGGCTGTGGAATGGGGAACTGCTTCGTCCTCTTGATGAGGAAGCTGCCATTGACCGATTCAACTCACCAGATTCAACAACCAAACAAAATCGGCGAATAATTCAATCGAAGACATAGAATATGTCAGAGCTTCACATGTAGCTTGATTAGTAGTAAAACCAAGACGAACATTTTTACACTCCAAAGTCCAAAGTGATTGAGAAGCTCTTCTAGAGAGAGAAAGTAAGAGTGTATATTAGCATATACGTATAGAGAGAGAAACTGTGTGGTAGTGAGATAGAGAGAGAGTGTGTGTGTGTGTGTTTCTCTCTTCTGGTAGAGAGAGAGAGAGATCCCTAGTGACCGGGAAATGGTAGTGGGAGGGAGGTAATTGAAATGGAAGGATTTCTCCTGATTTTCTTTTAATTTTTAATAGTTTAATATTTTTATTTTATTTTACTTTTTAATAGTTTAATATTTTTATTTTATTTTACTTGTTTAATACTTTTATGTTAAAAATAATAGTAATTATCTTTCTTTTTTAAGAAAGATACTAATAATATCAGGAATCTAGATGTAGTTTTACTTTAAGCATCTCTAAATTCTAATGCAAACATTCTTTGTTAACAAAAAAAAATTGTAATGAATTGTAATAATTATTATTACGAAAGACTTTTGGTTTTTACCATAAAGTTTATCAGAAATGATATTTTTCTTAATTTTTATTTTATTTTTTATTTTATAATTATTAATTATAAACAAAATAGCAAAAATAAGGTTCTTATAAAAATCTTCATTGGAAATGCTGTAAACGAACTTAATGAGCTGTTTACTTAAATGTTTACCCGGTGAGTGTTTAACGTTATGAGTCAACACTATAATATGTTTTATTGGATAAGATTGTAGTACATCAAAACGTATCATATGCAACAATTTACCTGATAAGCGCTTATCCGGGTAAGAGTCATCACCCTCACTTATCATGTAAGACTCTCCATATTTATCATCGCTCTTATCGAGTAAGATTCTTGGCCCTTATCATGTTCATCCGATGAGAAAAATTACTCGATAAGTACTTACCAGATAAGCATTTAGTAAATGGCCCCTAACTATTGAGGCATCTTCAATCCCCCTTATAAATATTAAAATGTAGATGTTCTTTCATTCAATCTTCACATCTATAACACTAAAAAAAATTGAGATCATTAAATTTATATGTGTATGGTGGTAAAAAAAATATTGACCTACATTTATAAGTATTAATATAATATTAAATTTTTATACTTATATATTAATTAATAATTTAATATATTAAGTAATACTTTGTATTAAATTTATTATTTAATTATTTTATGACTATAAATTGTAATTTTTATCTAAATAATTTAATACTTTTATTAAAAATATAATTTGGTAAAAATGAAAATTGCGAATTGTTTTATTATAATTTTAGTCGACAAAACTTAAGCATACATAAAAAAAAACAGTTGTATAGTTATAAAATGTTTAACAAAATAAAAATTCATCAGCAAAAACTAAAAAAATGTAATATTAGCAACAGTTTTGTACTGATATAATAACATAAATTGAACACAATAACATAGATTTATAAAGTAAATGATAAAGATGCTCACATTTACCTTAAAAATGCATTAATTGAACATTTATGAAATGGGTATGTTAACTTGGAAAATCAGTGTAATTTAGAAATGTAACATTTACTAATTAACAATCGTCATTTTAATTTTAACGACGTTTCTTTAAATAAATTATTTTTAAATAAGTGATAATTATTTATCGATTTTTTATTGTGTTTAATAAAACAATATATTATTACAATAATAAAGATGTTTTTAGTGCTATTTTTTAATGTGTGGTTGGAGTTTCTTTTTTTACTAGTTAAATAGCCCTAACATTTTTTAGTGATTTTATTTTTTTAATTTTTTTTTTATTAGTTGGGTTGAAAAATGGTCTTAATACAAACCATATAAACCAATTAATTAAAATATTCACAAAAACAACAAAAATTCATTTATTATATCTGTAACGGTATCTACTCAAACACTACACTTGCAGTGTGTTGAATTATCATCTGACAAATGTTCAGGAGTTCCTCTATGCAATCATTTTCCTTCTTGTTGTTGCATATCTTGTAATGTAAGATCATCAGAGTTCATCATATAATCAACGCTTTATGTTATAAAACAATCGAGATATTTATAGAATCAGATATTTATCATACTAAATGACGATATAAATTGGTTTATATAATTTTAATGGTTGAATATGTAAATGAAACTATTCCTTTAAAAATATATTTCAATAAAAGTAATAAATATTTGTAGAAAATAAGTATAATGAAAATTTTATTTTTCAAAAAAAAATACCGCATATTTCGTGAGTATTTTTTGAAGAAAACAATCATTTAAACCTTTTTAATTAATTTTATTATAATAAACATGTCGGTTTCATTGATCTTATCACTGGATCTATCATTATTTTTGGGAAAAACAATTATTCAAAAATATAATTTAATTTAATAAAAATGTTAAATTAATAATTAAATATTTAATATTACTAAAAATAAATTAGTTTTCTAAAATTTGAAAATAAAAAAAAATGCGTAAAATAAAACTTTGTTGGAAAAGAAAAACACGATGACACGATACGTGTGGTTGTGCTGGGTTTGTTAGTATTTAAATTTTTGAAAGGAGGGGTAAAATGGGAATTAAAGAAGGAGAGGTGAAATTCAAAGCTTGCTGGAAAGCGACGGCGCCAGGAAAGAGAAAGAGGTTTAATGTATTTAATTTTTAAACCAGGCGTGAAATGAGCGGGAATGACAGTGACTGACCACACAACAAATACTAATCGCCGGCTAACAATCTAACAAAAACATGGTATAACTAAGAACAAGTTTTTTTATTATATTAATTAATACTAAAAGAGTACTCGTGTAATCCAGTAAAATACATATTGATTTTAATGTTTTATTTTATTTTTTGTCTCTATCGATGTTATAATACGATTTTATGTGTTTTTCCCAAAACCACATCTGGCAGATGCGATTCCTGGATGTAGTTGGATGTGATTATCGGTGAAAGCATAGAAGGATCTCCAATCAATCAATAGTCCCTTATAAATTTGAAAATATCATAAAATTTAAAAAAAAAATTTAGTATCAAATCAACTATTTAAAACTTCTCATTTTTTTATGTAATTTCTTTAATTTATTTTTATTATAATATAATTTAAATTTAATAATGAAATAATTTATTTTTATTTTAATAATATAATATTTTATAAAGATAATAATTAAGTATTCATTTAGAACTCGGTGATTATCTTAATTATATTTAGATTTTTTATTTTTAAAATGAGATGTTTATCTTGTATTTTATTATGTTTATCTCTAATTACTTACACGGATTGAGATATGAAGCTTTAATAAGTTGTACTTACACATAATCTATTTGTAATATGCATTAATAAACAGTACTTAATGCATAAAAGTGATTTTTAAGAGTTTTTGTCAAATGTTTTATAATATTGTATGGATATTCTCTCTTTTTTGACGTAAAAACTACTGGATAACATAACTGATAACTGATAAGTTAGTTATTAGCTGATAAACTAAATAAAAGCTGTTAAGTTAGCTGATAAAAATTATGTTTGATAAAACTAGCTTATAAGTTACAAAGATGTAAAATAACCAAAAAAGAAATCTAGAAAAAATAGTTGATCATAAATATTTCATAAAATAATTCAAATAAGTATCTAATAATATAATTAAAAATAAAATTTTAATAATATAATATATAATTAATACAACAAGATAATAATAAAAAAAAAATTATATTATATTAATTGAAATATTCTTGGTTACAAAAAAAATGGAAGATGTTCAGGTATTAGGAACCTTTAGGTATTGAATTTAAAATTGATTATTGAGTAAACCATAAATTTGGTCTTTATGGTTTGATGTATGTAATATTTAGGGGTTGTTTGGCAATTGCTAAATGGTTTGGTGTAGAATAATTAAGTGGTCAGAATGATTAAGAGGCTCCAATGATATAGTGCAAAATGAAATATAATTGTTTAGTAATTGTATACAATGAAATTAGTGCTCTTAATGGTTAAGGAATGTGCAAGATACAAAATCATTCAGAGGGTTTTAGAACCATTAAGAGACTGACTTTTTTTTGTCAAACAAGATTCACCTCTTAACAATTCAAATGTTGTCTCTTAATGGAACTATTAAGAAGTAAACAAACAACTCCTCGATATAAGAATTAAGGTTCTTGTATTAAAACTCAAAGGAAGTGGAGTTTTTATAGGAACTCTCTGTAACGGTAGTTTTTGTAAAACACTACACTTTTTGCTTATAAATTTTTTTCATTAGAGATGTTCAATAATTAATATCGACATTGTGAGAAATTCTATGAGCATTATTCACGTGATGGAATATTAGAGCATTTTTATGAAATTGTATTGAATATTTTAATAATATAATTAATATTTAGTCTTCAAAATAAAAAAGTTGTTGAGGATAATTTTAAATATTTTTTATTTTAAATAATCTGTTGGAGATGTTAAAGTACATTTTTTTATTTACCATGTTGAGTTACTTTATGTCCCAAATGCATTATTGTGATGCATTCTTTATCCAAATGATTGAAAAATGGGCATATTTGAATTATTAGATTTGTCAACGTTTTAATCACAGTTCTTGATAAGAATATTATTTTATGTCGGTTACGATAATATGCATTTGATCGTCTTTTAAAATAGCCTATTTTGTTACATTGTTTTTTTCCATGTATAGTATGGTTTTCAACCTGATTGATTTGTAACCAGATATGCACAACATGACCTTATGATTGATACTGGTTATTAAGACAACATCTGGGATTGGTCCAAACCCAAAATACGAACCAATCATTCTTGATATAAAAGTCTCGAGTCAAAGGAATGGTTTTATGGTTGTGGGTCTTCAATATTTCGGCCTTAATTTTAGAATTAGATTAACATTAAGATAATCCAATTAAATGGGTTGATGTAGCTACGGTCATTGTCATGAAAAGATAGGTTACGTGAAGTGTAGTTTCTTCCAAATCGACAAAAACTCCAACTTTCTGAATTAAAATAATAAAAGAAAAAAATTAAGACCAAAATGTTATATTGAATTTTTTTTTTATTAATCTGGA